AAGGAGAAGATGATTAATTGAAAACCATTGATGAAAAATGGGTTTTGATTTGTTTCTCTTTTCTAGATATTATTGTTTGTTTTCTTGCTTTGGACGAAGCAAGTTAATTTCATATTCATCAAGGTTGATCTGTAATATATTTGTTGTTATAAACGACTTGTTTTTTTATATAAAATATTGCAGAAATATCCTATTACAAAATTATCTCTATAACTTGAGTATGGTTTGTTCAACTGATCAAAACAAAATTGTTTACGGCAAGTAAAAATTCTGTTTATGTTGGTAAGATGATATACCTTGAAAATATATTATAGACAGTATATACAAATTCGCATATTGATCTTGAAGGTCATTGATCTGTTTATATGTAATATTTGTTGACTTTTTTTGTCCAAGTTAATATTTGTTGTCGTATACAGCAAATGGGTCTAAATAATATATTTCAATAAGGTTATGTCATTGTTGATGTAATTTTCTAAAGAGGTTAGTGTTGTTATACGGTCGGGTCTTTTTTGACTTGGTCACACTACAACTCTAACAAGAAATGTGTTCCTTTCCTTCTCTTAATATTATTTTTCCGAATACACACACGGTTTCGGTGAAATCGAACTAACTTTTTGTTGTGGCTAGCTACCAAGTACCAAGTGAGGTATATATGACGATTTATAACAAATTTTCTGAAACAACTATATTATATTGTAGGGTAACATTTATAGTTTTAGTATTTTGATAACTAAAGATATTTAATGTCATAACTCTCTGACTAATCCTCGACTATTCTTTATATAGAACATTTCGATGTTTGTTCTAGATTAATATAAGATAATCCTTTAACTAATCATATCACTCGTAATATTTAAATTACATAAAAAAAAATTACAAACAAATAAGCTTCTAAAAGAAGTGCACATTAAAATAATCCCGATTTCGAGTTTTCGACGTACGTTACAATTAGAACTAATTTATTTGTTTTGATATCTTCCGGTAAGCTTTTGGAAATTTGGATCTAGCGGTCAATTATTTTCAATAATTAAATTTTAAACAATTGGTTCATTCGTAGCTAAAGTCTCCAAATTATTTCGTTTTCTTGGCCAAGTCGAGGTCGTACACCACTTGGTTGAATAAAAATAAATCAATTTAAGTGCAAAGACAATGGACCATTGTCAACGGTCGCTATAAAGTAATATAAATGCAAATTGTTATCACAGGTAATTTTATTTATTTCTAAAAAGTGTATAAATATACATTATTATATTTTGATGAGTTCATCTATACAATTAATGACAGGGAATGGTCAGGTCCGGCTTAGCAGATGTGCCAAGAGTGCTCAAGCACAGGGTCCAAGGGTCCTTTTTTTTTTTTTTTTAAATACAAGAAGTCCAACTTTTCTTTAAAAATGCCATTAATTCAAAAATTATACTTTAAAAATCTAACTTTTGTTATTAAAAAACAATATGGAAAGATTCTATTTTTTTAAAATAACATTATTCTATCACCAAAAACCACAAATTAAAGATCAAAAATTTAATAATAATAATAATAACTATAATAGGCCAAAAAAATTTGTCTAAAGATTCTTAGTTTTTTTAGGTCGGAATTGGCACAGGGTCTCGCCAATAATTGAGCCGGCCCGGGGAATGGTAGCTATATGGTCTAGAGGTTGCATGCAACGAAAATAGAGGCATTTCTTACATCATGCACCTAGAACTAAAACAATCATGGAATATTTGATTCAATATTTTTTTAAAAAAAACTTGCTTATAAATCACTAAATCGAAAGTCAGGACTATATTCAATAAGTAAAATCGAACTTTGAGAACTCTAAATTTACAATTAAATTCTGAATACTTTTCAATTGCACCAAATTTTCCAAATTTATACGATATATATATATATATATATATATACTTTGACTTAATTAGTTTTCTTATGTTACGAATATTTGTTACTTTCATTATGTCATGCACAAATAACAAACATATGTGTACATACTTTGACTTATATAAGCTATATACACTATAGTATTTGATTTGACTAGTCCTTCCAAAAGGAAACTGGAAACCCCTTAACTAAGTTTATTAAATTGAGTTTCGAAAGCGTCAAGGAAATGTTAAGAATTTAAGCTAGTGGACTTTGCATGCATAATCCTTTTTAAATTAATCACCGATTTGACACTCAAGTCTCTTCATTTTGCATGCTTCATTAATGTCTTTGTACTTTACTACTTTTGACTTTATACATACCCATGTCTCTATCTACGTATTTAATACAATTTCTTGTACTCGAAGTTTTGGGTCAAAACTAGTTACCTTTTTCCCCTTGTTAATTTTAGTAGTGATCAATTCTGTATTCACTGTGAATTGATCATTAATCTCATTAGTCATTAGCATTAGAAAACAGATACACTAACTAACCAAATTCCTTAACCGATTAATTATGAGACTCAAAATCGGCTACGTGATAACCCGATAGGCGTCTTCGAACTGTTTAATTAACACATTACGAATTTTGGTGCCTCTTATTTACACGCTTTCCAAAAGCTTAGTACGTGAATACTTTTGACTTTATGTTCTTGTATATTATAATGTACATATAAATAGTCAAAAGATTTCAATATTAAATTTGTAATTTTGTGACAACTGGTACCAAAAGTTTTGTGACAAGTGCAAAGATAGACTTTTATCTTCTTTTTGTTTGTCAACAACAACATGCAACATGATATTTTTTAAAAGAAAAACAGCATGTATATTTTTTTTTTTTTACAATGTAAGTTTAACGAATGAAATATAGCTTTTCATTCATGACTAATGCTGAATCTAATCTAATCGCCCGACGATGACAAAAATACAATCAAACCCACACGACCTCTTTTAAGAATTAAGAGCCCATTTAATTTCTCTTTTGTTTTTTAGTATTCTTCTCTCTACCAGTGTTTTTTTATTTGCATATTAAACGAAAAGTTGATTCTCTCCTTTTGTATTATGAATTTATGATACATTGATATAGTACATTGCAAACACCAATATTACTCTTTAGAATCAAAATGTGAAGAATAAAAAGCCGCATCCACACGTGTGTCGTGGTCGTTAAGATATTCCAACTCAATGCTACAACCTTTTTAGTTTTTAGGGTCAAAGGTCAATAAAACAGCTGGAAGAATCTTAGCCGTCAGATCAGTCCCCACATCACACGCGTATCACGCTGACAGGCTGGCGCCTAAAATCATTGGTCAAGTCCCACGTGTGAACCAATCATCAACGTCGTCATTAATTTTACTTACATTGGTCTCGTCTTCGTGTCGTATTACGATAATACGATCGAGCTGCTTCACAATTATGTTCTTATCGTTACAACAACCCGAAATCTATATAAATCTTTTATTGATTTGTCAAAAGGAATACACGTACTTATATACATACTGGACCCAAATGTGGTTACTTGTTAGGTTTAATGTGTTTAGTATCAGTTCCAATGGCGGAGGCAGGATTGTTTTTAACTGGGGTCAATAAAAACATTGATTTAGAGAGGTCATAATTTAGGGGGTTTTTCCCTTGGGCAACAGGAGAAAGAAGAGACAAAAAAAACTTGGGTTAATGAAAAGCCCAATATTTTTTTAAAAATTAACTTTGTTTAGGTTTATATTTTCATTAACGTGGGTTCAATTTTTATAAATATTGTGTTTTTCATGTATATAAATTAGTGTTTGATTGGGTCAATGGGGTCAAGAAAACTTTTTAGTTGGGTTCATTAGATTAAATATTAAAACATAGAGTAGAATTTTGGAAATTAGTTGGGGTCAGCTGACCCCACTTGCCACATAGTAATAATTACTAGATTAATCTGAATATTGTTAATTAGTTCAATTTTTTTCTTTGTAAATGCTAATTCATATCATCCATTCTAATTCTGTTAAAAGTATGGACAGAAATTCCTTGATATGAAACTTTGAAAAAGAAAAAAAAACGTTGTGTTGCATTATCATTCCAAGATTGATCACACTTAAATAAAAATAATAATTATATAGATTAGTTGGATGATTGATAGATATATCATTGCTATTTAAAAACTGCTAAAAAAATATTCTAATTAAAATGATATAAAATATTTCCGTACATTTACTTATTATTTAATAAACTCGAATTTCTTGTTGAAACTACTTGCAATCAAGTGGTTTTTACTACTAGTATCCACGTCGTATCCTTTGATTAAAACCTGTAAGTGTGTGTTGGAGTTATAGACTAGAAAAACAAATGGCCAAAAAATAAACTGAATTACTAAAAATTCTTTAAATGATTTCGTTACGTGTATTATTGCTTGTGATCTTTTTTGTTTAGATGATTTTAGTGAGACAAAAAAAAGAAGAAGATAAATATGCATGAAGCATGATATCACATGCAGTGGTCCAGACTCCAGAGTATTATTTGATGACAATCTAGTCAGATTATGCATTTGGTGTTATGATAGCTAGCTAATCATTAAGCAAATTAAGAATGAGATCCAATGCCTAATTAATATATTTGATTAGCGTGTTTAATGAAAGATGATATATAATTATAATACCGTGTTGGGTGAGAATGATATACTGTTGTTACTCGCTTTGTACATATAGTGTTTGTATTATTTTATACCTCTTATATTTAATTAAATATTACTCATGACTCATGAGTCTGATTGGTAGTGGTACTCAATAGTTTTATTTAGAGTGACAATAATTTTATTCAAAAAAAAAAACTTACACCAAATGAATATTCTATTCGCGAGACCTATCAATTCAATTCAAATTCGATATTATTGGGCCTGGCCCTGCTTCTTAAGATTCGCCTACGTTTGATCGACATAATTTCATTTTGGGTTAATAAAGGCCCATATAAGGCCCGTACTGTTTTATTTTTGCCGCATTCTATTATCATCGGAAAAACCTCAAGAAGAAGAGTGGTAACAAAACAAAACCCCAAAAAACTCACAAGTCTAGAGATTCTGTTGTTGATCTAGCTCGCGCCCTCCTTCTCCGGTAGTACAATCTCCGTCGCCGATAACATCAGCTAGGTGAGAGACCTTTCTCGTTTGATTCGAAGTTTCATCTCTTTTTTTCCACTTTATTCCCTTGAGGGAATTTGTCTGCTAGATCTACGCTTTTAGGTCGCTAGCTTTGATACGACATTTGATTTATTTTCGACCAACGAAAGATAATGTAAATGTTCATTAGTTCTGGCAATTTGGAATGATCTTAACTTTTGATGATTAGGGTTTTGTTTTGGTCGACACTGATTTTAGGTTTTGATTTACTTTTCTGGTTCTTAATTCTTCAAGCTTAATGCAGAGATGACTCCATTTGATTTTGGAATTGGATTCCTTAGAGAGATCATCCATTAGCTTCTCTTTTGATTTGTAATTCCAAATTGTGTTATGGCTTAGGGAAGAGTTTTGAGAGATGGCATCGAAGTTGCTACAATTGAAATCCAAGGCCTGTGAAGCATCGAAGTTTGTGTCGAAGCACGGCACAACTTACTACAAACAGTTGCTGGAGAAGAACAAGCAGTATATCCAGGAGCCAGCCACTTTAGAGAAATGCAATGAATTGTCTAAGCAGCTTCTCTACACTCGTCTTGCTAGGTTGTTTTTCCTTTTCCTTTCCGTTTGATATGTTTGTTAGAATATAAATTGCGCGAAATCCTGCTAATGATGTAGACAATCCTGGTTCTTTATCAATTGGGTTAGGGGTAGTGAATTCTGTGGAATAAAAGAATTGTGAAATTATACATTCTAAGTTTGATGGTTCTGAACCATGAAACTCATCACATACCTAGTTACAGTCCCTACTTTGCTGCATCTGAGCTTGATACCAACAATCCCCTGCTTATAGAGAGAGTGGTTTTTGTGTCTTCTTTTGTTGCTATGACTGACTTGTTTTAAATGGATCGCAGCATTCCTGGGCGTTCTGAGTCATTTTGGAAGGAAGTCGATCACGTGAAGGGCTTATGGAAGAATCGGGCGGATTTGAAGGTTGAAGATGCTGGAATTGCTGCACTTTTTGGTTTGGAATGCTTTGCGTGGTACTGTGCTGGAGAGATTGTAGGAAGGGGCTTCACTTTCACCGGCTACTACCCTTGAAGAAAGAAAGCAAACCCCTCATAAACAAACATGCGTTTTTAAAACCATTGAATGCCGAAAAGCCTTTTATATCATAACTAGCGGCTTATTATCTATCTCACGGCTGACATTAGAAGCAAAGTTAATTTCTGTTTCTCTGGATAATTAATACACAAAAGTTTTGAAGGTGAGGCATCATCACTCATGGTAGCTCTAATAATATCAGTAGACCACATGTTGGCCTTTGTTTTTTTCTTTGTCAGTTTCATTGATGTGAATAACCATTTTTCTTGCTCACAATTAGATGAAACAGAAACAAGATTATCAAAAACATCATCTTATTTCAATTGGGTTTAGAGTCTATAGACCGTTGGTAAGATGTTTCATTCGTGAAACCTTTGACTCTATAAACCGTTTGGTGAGATGTTTCATTCGTGAAACCTTTGACTCTATAAACCGTTTGGTGAGATGTTTTATTCGTGAAACCTCAGCACTTACCAACCTTACCAGAGAAGAGTTAAACGACATTATGCAAACCCTTCCGTGTAGATTCTTCTTATATCACATAAATGGAAGAAAATCACAAACTTTTGACAATTGTCTTAAAATACGATTAGGTTCGGAGTATTTCAAAGTTGTCTCTGTCATTTGTCTATAGCAATTTCGCATAAAAGCAAGCCTTGTAGGTGTAGAAGCATCACACTCACACAAGATTGTAGTGGAAGATCGGAAACTTAAGACTTGAGTCCTCTGGTATTATCTCTCCCTCTCTCAACCGGTCCTCACTATAAGTCTTCTCTCTGTAACGTTTTTTTGGTTAATGGCATGATCATTTTTGGATCGTAAGTTTTGTAGTTGTTCTTTTGCTTATGGGTGTTTGGATAGTGAACCTAAACTTGATTAAGAAGTCAACTGTTTGCTAAATCGATTGGTATTTGAAGAAGTTAGCTCTAATAATCAAGCAATTGGATAAGATAACATCAGATAAGCTGTTTTCCTTCAAAACTTGAAAGATCGTCACTTTCAGAAAAAAGATTGTAAATTTCACCAACCCATAATCAATAAAGAATCCCTTATTTTCTGCATCACCAATAGCTTTTTCAATTGTGCAAGCACGATTGGTTGAATTATCATCGCTATTAAATTAATGTCTTTTCCTTGAGCAGATACTTGAGTGTGTTTGAGAAAGAAGACTGTGATAACAATGGCTAAGGATGAAGCCAAGGCATCAGATTTTTCCAAGGGATTGCTGAAAAGTGAAGAGCTCTATAAAGTGTGCCCCTACACATTTATCTCTACGCTTTTCTATAGTTCACTTCTCCATTTCTCTGATACAATTCTTTGAGAAATGTTGCAGTATATACTGGAGACCAGTGTGTACCCACGCGAGCCAGAGGTTCTCAAGGAGCTTAGGAACATTACTCATAACCACCCTCAAGCTGGGATGGCTACTGCACCCGACGCTGGCCAGTTGATAGAGATGCTGCTGAATCTGGTAAATGCAAGAAAGACGATCGAGGTCGGGGTTTTTACTGGATACTCTCTTCTCCTCACTGCTCTTACATTACCAGAAGATGGCAAGGTATGTACATATATCTGACCAAACCAAAAGAAAAAGTGTCATGAGCTTTTCCATTGTTCCGCTTCTGCAACTGATTCGGTACACGAGCTCTGCAGGTTATCGCCATTGACGTGAATAGAGACTCGTATGAAATAGGATTGCCAGTTATAAAGAAAGCTGGTGTTGAACACAAAATTGATTTCAGAGAGTCTGAAGCTCTTCCAGCCCTCGACAAGCTTTTAAACGATGTAAAACTTCATACTTCTTTGTCTTTCAAAAAAAGACTTAGTATGTATTCTGAGATGGTCTTCATGTTTTGAAGCAGAAAGCGAATGAGGGTGGATTCGATTTCGCATTTGTGGATGCAGACAAGGTGAACTATTGGAACTACCATGAGAGGCTTATTAGACTGATCAAGGTTGGTGGGATTATAGTGTATGACAACACTCTCTGGGGAGGATCAGTTGCTGAACCGGACTCCTCCACTCCCGAGTGGAGGATAGAAATCAAGAAAGCAACCCTCGAGCTGAACAAGAAACTCTCGGCTGATAAGCGTGTGCAGATCTCGCAAGCTGCACTTGGCGATGGAATCACTATTTGCAGGAGATTATATTGAGCTGTTCTTAGTGATCTTTTGGGTCCTGTGAATGTGAACCCTTCCGAGCATTTGTGAGGCCCTACACGAAAAATATAATGAGGCCCAATATATTTATAAGTTTTAGGGCTAAAATTTTTATTTTGACCTATTTTTAGTAAATTATACAAAAATAATGATATTTTGAATATTATTACATTCAAATTTAATTGTTTGGGCCCTATTTTATTTATTTTTTTCGAAAAAGACTTTAGTTTCTACCAAATATTTTCATTTTATGGGCCTTTTTACCAAAAAAAAAAAAAAAAAAAAAACCTTAAAAAAAAAAACAAATTGTGGTGCCCCAAGCCACCGCTTGGGTGGCCTGTCCTGCGGGCCGGCCCTGGTATAGTGATGCTAGAGTGTTTTGTTCTTTGTGATCTTTTGGGTCCTCAGAATGTGATCTTTATATTGAGGTATAGTGATGCTATAGTAGTGTTGTTCTTTGTGATATTTTGGGTCATGTGAATGTGAACCTTTTCTATCAAGTTGGTGGATTTCTTCAAATTTCAAGATTATAAAAGAAACCAAGTATTGAAAAAGAAAAAGAAGTTTAAAAAAGAAAAGGGGCGTTCCGAGAATCGAACTCGGGACCTCTCGCACCCAAAGCGAGAATCATACCACTAGACCAAACGCCCACTTCGATGTATAGTTTGTTATCTTTTTATAGAAGGCAGATCAAATCATTTGGTTTGTCCTCCAATGATATGAATATTGAACAAGAAGAGTACAAGACAATATGTATTTTCATCAAAAGTTAACAAAGTTGAACGATCCAACATTAAATTATCCAATGTTAAAAATCGTTAGCGTGATCTTACAACATAAAATGATTTTTTTTTGTTTTGAGCTTAGAAACTATTGATTGGGCCATAAAATGAGAGGTCTATAGTAAATTTAAAAAGCCCATCAAATCGACTAGGGTTAGTTCTTCTTCTTATTGAGCGCCGCATATAAGCTTTCTCCATCTCCGTCACCACCGGCTCTGTATTTCGGCGTTCGTAGAGAGACGAAGGTACGTACTCTCTTCTCTTTCTCTGCTATATCTTAATCTCCGTTTAAAAAATTTGACAATGGATTTGTCTTCGTATTCTTACATTTTATTGGTAATCAAATGAAGTGAAGTGAGCTAATCGGCTTAAGATCACTTATCAGAATTAAACTGATTTCATTTTCGATATACGCAGGAACATATAGAGACACAAAATGTCGGAGAAGAAGGGAAGGAAAGAAGAGGTGGTGACCAGAGAGTACACCATCAATCTCCACAGACGTCTTCATAGCTGGTAACTTCCAAAACCTTTTAACACTTTGGTCTTCTGCTTCTAAGCTTTAGCTGTTAGATATTGGAATTGGAATCTACAATAATGAGCTTTAAGCCAATGTTTTAATTCGATTTGTGCTCTAAACTCTCCATGGAATTGTGACCTTGAAAATGTTTCAGTACCTTTAAGAAGAAGGCTCCAAATGCGATCAAGGAGATAAGGAAGTTTGCTGAGAAAGCAATGGGGACAAAGGATGTGAGAGTGGATGTCAAGCTGAACAAGCAGATTTGGAGCAAAGGTATCAGAGGTCCTCCTAGGAGAATCAGAGTCCGAGTTGCTCGTAAGAGAAACGATGATGAAGATGCAAAGGAAGAGTTCTTCTCTCTTGTCACTGTTGCTGAAATCCCTGCTGAAGGACTCTCTGGCCTTGGCACTAAGGTCATTGAAGAAGAGAATTGAACTATCTATCTTGTAGTAACAACATCTTATCAGATTTTTGAGTTTTGTTTTTTTTAAATCAGTTATTGGAGAGACCGTTTATCTTATTGAATCCTTGATCCATGAAATGCCATTGAGACAGAATCTCAGTCTTGGGTCGTAACTAGTATCTGTTCAACCATCCTTGCATTTGTTTCTGTAAAGATTGACCATCTTGTTCTATCATGATCACATCTGCGGCTATGGATATGATTATGATGCACCACTCTCAAGTGAATTGTTTGAATCAATCAAGAATTTGCCTGTATGACCTGGAATCTGCTTCATAAATCTAGTTCGAGTCAATCATGTGTTTTTACACAAAATGAAATGAACTTCAAAGTTTCGATTCTATTTACAGCAAAAGAAGAATGTTCTTTAGGGGATGATAGAGTCAAAACTTGCACTCTTGCTATCACAAATTCACTCTGAAGAGTTTTCAAAGTAGTTATGATCTCTACCTTGCTTTATATGCATACATATAGTTCCTTAGTTTTTTCACTTCCTCAGATGATTCCTCTAGTAGATGGTCCACGTATAGACAAATTCCAGCTCCACTGCAATTTCCAAGTACAGAAAAGTTGATACAAACATTAGTTTTACATATACAGGGCATACAACACAGGGTTATATCTACGCTATAGATGCACATACCAAAGCGGCCCAAACGGAAGCCAGATAGCATCCCACCGGAACTTCGGAAGCCTAGAACATGAGTGAGAAAAAGATTATAAGCATACATTTACAGAGAGCACGAATGGAAGGAATAAACAAGAAATGTCGTTAATGTTGATAAAGCATAAACGACTAACACAAGGATTAATGCTACTAAAACTGGTTTTAAAATCAATGAACCGGGATCTCTAGAGCTATACATTGAGATTGATTGCATTCTAGCTTCTTTTAAATCTAATAGTCGTAATAATGAAAGTTTGTTAAGTGTAAGATGGTATCCGAAGTAGTGAAATGTATACTCTCTAGTGTACCTCAGCAAGTAATAAAGCCAAAAGATGGTCAATGCAGATCCAACAACACATGAGTACCAGAACCATCGTCTATGATCATTCTTCTTATCTCGGAGCCCGACAATGGAGAGACAGCAAGCCATGATAGCGATCCACTCTGATCAAAAATATCCAATGATAAAAGTGTTATAGTTGCATTAATCAAAAATGCGAAAACTTTTTTAAAAAATGAATTGAAGATCCAACAGCAAAGTCTTCTAATGGCTTTAAGGTTTCAGTATGGCCATAAATTGGTTCTAACAATTATAGTAGCAGAGAAGCAGTTTGACACTCAAAATGCAATCACTCAATACCTAAGGTCTAAAACACTCAAGATGCAAATCACTCTTTCTAATTCTACTACACTATTCCACAAACCGATATGCTCTCATCCCTCAGTTCATCTCCTATGAACAGTGATACTCAGGAACTACAGCCAGAGGTTGAACATGTCAATGTGTGAATTAGATTACTATGCATCTAACATATCTGTTTTTTTTTCCCATATTGATACTAGAGATTACACGAAACTTCCACAAAATTTCAGTCTTGGCTGTACTACCATACAGAGTGACAAGAAAAATCTAATAAACCATGACTATAAAGTATAAAAACACATATAGACGTAAGACAAACCAGCTGAAATGACCATCCATGACTTGAGATCTTCCATGAAGTAGGCATGATATCGCTGCTCATAAAAAACGGCATACATAATAACCCATGAAATACAGAACGTACAATATACATACCTTAGATAAAGAGACATTTGTATATTTATAAGTATGTAACTCCATACACGCAGAATTAGTGTATCATATAAATATTGCAAGTGTAATCAATTCTGTATTCAAAGCTCTATATCCGAAATCTATCATTTAGACTGAAAATCCAATTTCGTCTTCTAAGATCAAAATCGCTGCAACTGAAGACAAGTGATCTGATCTGAATTTCAACTGTAAATTCAATTTAATAGGAAGATAATTCAACATTAAGCAACAAAACTAGTCCATCAAATCGAATTGCAACAAGCACGAACAAGGCCACACTTAGGTTGAGATTATCAATTACCAGTTCCCATGGTGACATGAACTGCTGAAAAATAGAGTAGAAGAGGAAAGCTCCATAGCAGATCAGAAGAACCACGAACACACTCTACACAAAAGAGTAATTCAAACTGTTTTAAGAAACAGAACTCTCAAATTTTGTAGAAATTGGATACTGTTCTCCGATCAACCATACCCTCCATTGCCGACTTTGCTGAGCATGAGCTTCCTCGAGCGACCGAACGTACTCTTCTTGCTCTGTACAACAACGATGATAACGATAAACTATTACGAACTTGTTTTTAAGAATCTGCCAAAAAATTCACAGGATGAGAGTAAGAAACAAAACCTTGCGTATCAATAGGCCGAGAATCGACGTCGTCGGAAGTAGGAAGGACGAACTTATCATCATCTTCATCGCGACGAGTTCTTCGCCATTTTCTCGCTAACTTCTTCATTTGATTTTTCTTCAGATTGCAAAAAGAAAAACTCAGAGAAATGGAGAATTTCTTCAACGAAAGTGTCTCCAGCCAAAAAGCCTATTGAGAAGCCCAGCCCATACTTAAGCAATATTGATTCGGTTTTTATCTCCGGCTTGGCCTTGGTTTAGTGTATTGAAGAAAATGGGCTTTAGATTCAACGTAAGCCCAACTGTTGGTCAAACTAGAACAATTTACACAAAAAGAAACTGTAAGAATTTATAACGAATAATTTAAGAGATAATTCAATAAGGCAACACATGGCAATATATGCCATTTACACAAAAACATTCAATGCACCGATTTAATCCATGCGCAAATATATACTATGAATTATCCTCATTTCCATATTAGTTAAGAATTTTAGATTTTCATTTTTTCTTTATCTTCTCCGATTTAATCCACATGCGCTAATAAATATGATGAATTATTCTCATTTCCATATTGATTACAATTTTCGATTCCTTTTTCTTTATCCTCTCCGATTTAAATCTTGGTAAACAATCCATTCCTTCAAAAACGTTATCAAACAATGAAGATTTCAAATATTCTCTAATTAAGTCCATAATTAATTCTTTCTTCTCATTTAATTCTCCTTTCTCTCTCGCTCCCTTATATAATGGTTTCACATATTTTCCATTCATAATCACAACTAATAAAAAAAAAGAGTTCCTATCTTTCAAAGAAACTAATTATCTAGAGATGGCCCAAATGATGGAGAAGAGGATCGAAGATGACGTGATGATGAGCCCTGATGGTGTTAAAAGAGCTTATGTCACTTTCCTCGCCGGGAACAAAGACTACTGGATGGGTGTTGTTGGTCTAGCCAAAGGACTTCGTAAAGTGAAATCTGCTTATCCTCTTGTGGTGGCTATTCTTCCGGACGTGCCTGAGGAACACCGTCAAATTTTGGTGGCTCAGGGATGCATCATCCGTGAGATCGAACCAGTCTATCCACCAGAAAACAAAACCGGTTATTCTATGGCTTATTACGTTATCAACTACTCCAAGCTTCGTATTTGGGAGGTAAAAATATTTCTAACTATATATCTATATTTGTGTTTATTCATTATACGACCGTATCGTCTTTTTGGGTGAATATTATTACCAATTACATTGATTGTTATGTTAGTTTAGAAAAACACAATAACGCCTAATATCACCTGTGGACAATCTTTTTAATAAATCACGTGTCGAACGTTACTAATATAATAAAGTTTATATATATATATATATATATATATATATATATATATATATATATATATATATATATATATATATATCCAAATTTAATGTCCCATGTAGATCTATCAAAAAACATTGCACGAACATATATAATTAATATTTCAAAAAGTCGCTGTGTATATTTTACGCCAATAATCGTTACACATGCATATATGTGCCATATCTAACGACTTATTAATATATCTAAATGCAGTTTGTGGAGTATGAGAAGATGATCTATCTAGATGGAGACATTCAAGTATTTAGTAACATCGATCATCTTTTCGATACTCCTCGTGGCTATTTGTACGCCGTCAAAGATTGTTTTTGCGAGATTTCTTGGTCCAAAACTCCTCAATACAAGATCGGTTACTGCCAACAGTGTCCTGAAAAGGTGACGTGGCCTGTTGAAAGCCTTGGTTCTCCACCGCCGGCATATTTCAACGCCGGTATGTTGGTTTTTGAACCAAATCTCGTCACTTACGAGGATCTCCTTCGTGTTGTTCAAATCACCACTCCAACTTACTTTGCCGAACAGGTCTGATTTTGTTTGCCTTTTCATTATATGATTTTGTTTTATTTTTCTTTATTATATACAGTCTAATATTATTGCTTATTTTTTTTTAGGATTTTCTGAATGATTACTTTAGAGACATTTACAAGCCAATCCCTTCGACTTACAACCTCGTAATGGCTATGCTTTGGCGTCATCCTGAACACGTTGACCTTGACCAAATCAGTGTTGTTCATTACTGTGCTAATGTACGTTTTTTTTCGTTTTAAATCCTTAATTTCATCTCTACATATATGTAGTAACGTAGATATAATATATTCTTGTTACTAAAATTTTATATTTTAATCAATTGTATAGGGTTCGAAGCCTTGGAAATTCGATGAAGCTGAAGAGCATATGGATCGTGAAGACATAAAAATGTTGGTGAAGAAATGGTGGGACATTTACGAAGATTCGAGTTTAGATTACAAGAACTTTGTCGAGACTGAGCCCAAGCTAAGTCCGATCACAGCAACCTTGGCTTCCAAGGAATCTGTTGGCGATGTCCTTACGAGCCTTGCTCCCTCTGCCGCATAACCAATCCTCTATGTGGAGACTATATTATGGAACTTTCTTTTGTTTCTTTTTTTTGTTTTGTTTTAATGAGAGGTTTAGCTATATATATATAATTTTATCATAATTATATATAGCAATCTCGTTTGAGTTTGATGTTTGTGAGATTAGAGTGGTTGGTCTTGTGTTTGTGTTTGACTATTGTGTCAATGTCGACCTTGACCATCCCTTTCCTTCTCTTTTTAATCAATAATAAGAATGTTGTTTTGGCTTTAATTCTCTTCCATTCGTTTTTTTTTTTTTTTGCTTTTTGTATAACAACTTAATTATTGTTTTTATTCGCAAATGGTAGTTGACGAATGGATGATCAATGATAAGTGATAATCTGTGTAAATTAACATTCGATGTGTATGTTATTACCGAACTAGTTTTGACAAATTTTTGGTTGAAGGGTAAGAAGTATGCACATCTCCTAAAGAACACCGATGCATCAAAACCGAAGTTAAACGGTAATTAAGGAGTATTTCTATGTTTAGCTTGTCGAGGGTCCGTATTATTAAATGACTCTTTCTTGATCCGATACATTAAAGTCTTACTATTTATGACATTGGATTAAATGAATAATCAATCAAAGGATATTGAGATTATACGACATATAGTATATATATTGTTGCAACTTATGCTTTAAGGGACTTTCTTAAAGTTAATGCGGATTTTAAAACAAAATGATCTCAAGGACATTATTGTTCAGTGCATATACAGTAAGTTGGAATTTTCCGATTCTGAAACAATCATAGTCCTACCAATATGGTAAGAAAATAATAACTGAGACATTATTCATATCTAATCAAAGGATCCGTAAAATATGAATCTTACTTATGAATCGTTCCCTCCAGTACAATTAGATTTAATATGGAAATGGTATCTCATAATAATAGCGTATTTAATGAATAACTAATTAACAGTTGACCAAAAAACCTATACCTCATAAATCAATAATATTAGCGTGGTTGAAAACTATAATTATATTCTTTAATTTCAGTAAATGCATTGACCAAATATTATCCATACCTTAAAAATATTCGTCATGAACCAATATTGATTTCGGATATTTTAACTGTTGAAATATCCCCATCGCTTGAACATGCTTTTCCACGCTTGAACATAGTTTTCCATTTAAAAAATTAAAAATTGAAATGATGACTAGCTATTCCTGTTATAGCCATTACATAAAAAGGAGAAAGTGGATCGGAGTTTGGATTTATTCTTTATACGTGCTTCATTCAGACACAGTGGGTCGTTGAGCTTAAATGATTTTGTCTAATATCCAATTATTGTACTTGATCCATATAAATAAAGTAAATTATATACAAACATTTTTTTTTTTTGTTAAATACAAACATTTTTTTACGAATTCTTATGTCAAATAGTTCAATTAGCCATTACGTTCCTACTACTATATCGTTGGTTTATATCCTTTTTCTTAACCTTTATTCATAATACAATGATCGAAAGGCAAAGCTCGATTAGTTATTACGTTCCTAGCATAACGTTTGTTTACATCGGTTAATATTATTCCAAGTGTGAATTATTATAACTAACAACAAGAAAAATCATAAATTATTGTTTTGAAATATGCATTATGCATTCAAACAAATGATTTTGCATAAGTTGTGCATATTATTATAATGAAGAAATGATTTTGCATGCATTATGCATATCTTCGTCTGAAATGATTTTGAAAACAAAAAAAGGAAAAAAAGAGAGTTGTAGTCTATGTTGCATGGAAACGGAAACGGAAACGTGGAAGCGAAACGTTTCGGAAACGGGAAACGATTTTTTTCTAAAATTAGGGATTGAAAACGTTTTGGAAACGTATACACATACATTTATGTATATATATAACATTAACATAAAACTATAAAAAAATGGTTTAATTAAACAATACAAGTCCAAAACATCAATATTAAATAGGTTAACTAAAACTCTAAAAGATAAAGATTAAGAGGTTCAAGTTCAAATATTTAATTTCGACCAATATTTTCATTCTCATTTTCATTAGTTTCATCATAGATCATATAAAGATGCCTCCAAATTTAGTTTGTCGATAGAAAGATCTTAAAACTCAAGAGTCTTCCAAAATTAGTTATATGTATTATAAATCTTAATATTTTTAATTTTTATTTATTAAGTTTCTAAAGTCAATAAAATTTTTTTGTCGCGTTTCCATTTTGGAAACGTGAGTTTCCATCGTGTTTCTAAACATAGATTTTTAGGAAACGCGTTTCCATGACGTTTTTCGTGTTTCCGAAGAGTTTCCGTTTCCGAAACGTTTCGGAAACGGGAAACGGACCTCCAAGAGAGTTTCCATGCAACATAGGTTGTAGTTTTGTTTAGTGGAGTTAATTTCACGTGACACGTGTTTTATTATAATTGGATGACGAACATGGGATTCTGGATTTTTTTTTTTTTTCGTCTCACATGGGATTCTCGATATCACGTGTAAATTACAAGGAAACATGTGATAAATATACAACCCATAGGCCATATCAGTATGGAAACAAGGCACTCTCGACTTCACTACGCGATACTTAAATGAATTTTTTTTATTTTATTTGGTATTAAGGATAATTCGTCATGCATGGGTACAAAAGTAAACCGGTAGAATTAAGATCATAACATAATGGTATTAACGTACGTAATGCTGAATGAACCCCAACTTTATTAAGGACGCCTTGACTTTTATAAGCTTCTACAATCAAACTAATAATTTTCCCCGATTGTTGTAATTGTCAAGGAAATGTCTCCTAATCCTAATCCACCTGAAGGGAATTCTGGTTATGAATTCAGATTGGGTCAGTTCTCGGTTTAGTGTTTGGTTTGGTGAGATATTTTGGTGATGAGTTGTCACATTAATCTTATGGGTGAGAGGAGAGAGAGACACACAAATCTGCGTATATATAAGCAAATATAGAGACTTATATGTAATAGAAATGTGAGTGAGAGAGTGGGGAAAAGGGTCAGCTTGAGAAAAAACATAGTATTTGAGAACAATCTAGTGTATTCCGGGCAAAGGCCCGGTGAGATGTAGGGGTCGCCACAACGGCGGCGCCGAACTCGTTAAAAAATCTGTGTGCACTTGTCTTTCCTTTTGATTATGTTCCGTTCTTGTCTTGTCTCTGTTTCTATTCCTTGTGTATCAAGTTCCATAAAATGCTCTAGTAATACCATGGTTCTCTAGTCTCTACACCACCAATATAAAGTCTTCATTGCAAAAATTATATAGTCAAAGGATCATAACCATATACATTTTCTCTCTATATTACTCCTCACCGTTTCGTATCCCTTCTCTTTCGTCCGTTTTTTTCTTTCTATCTAAAACCGTTCTTTGAAGATGACGGCCTCTATCGAGAAAGCCAATTCCTGGTAAGAATCTATTCTCCCAACTTTGCCCTATAAAACCAATGAATTATCTAGGTAAACAACCAATATACCTGATTTTTTACCTAACACAATGAATCTGTTTTCTTTTTTGATCAAAATGAATCTTATATGTTCTTGAAAGAGGAATTCATGATATATATTTTTCAATTTTTTTTTAAAATTTTTGTTCGAAGTAGAGGAGGTTTCTACATGTCAGAAGAAGAGCGAGGACAAGACCCGAAAGTTAACTTTGGACGGAGGATTTTCGATGCGAATCATTCAGCCGTCATTTCAGGTTTCATTTTAAAAACAAACATTTAATATAAAAAGAACCTTCAAGTTTTTTTTATATTTATTTTTGGCCGGATCTAGTAGATATTGACTTGATCAATATGCGTATAATGGTTTTCCTTCTAGTTAAGTATAAATTATTAACGGTTTTGTTTTGAAATATGTTACTTTTTCATTTTTTTTTTTTGACGGCAGTTACTTCTTAATTAAGTTGTAATTTTGGATGCCAAAATACAATATAAAAGTTGTGGTTATTGTTAGTGGAGTTAGGTTCACGTCTACTTCTATATGTCAAATTGTATACCGAAAAAGTAGATAAGAGTTATTTGTATGTGTTAAATGATATACCCAAAAAATTGATAAGAGTCATTGATAAGGACAACAATTATTGTACCTATGTTGTTCTATTTTAGTTTTCACGTGTATAAAGTATATACAAAACCCATAGTCCATATAGATCACATGTGCATATATATAAGGGCTCTCTATATATAACCCTTAAAAAACAGAGTGAAAATTAGACGGAGGATTTTCTCTACACCACCACTATAGATACTCGTAAATTAAAGTCTTCACCACAAAAGTTATATAATCAAAAGGATAAACTTATGGTCATTCCTTTTACTGGTAAGCACTTCAATTAAAAATCTGTCTAAAGAACATTCTACATGAATACTACTTGAGCGGAAATCTTATTTCAATTGATTTGTTACATATCCGCAGCATTGCACACGGCTGGAGAATACACATCTTATGAACGAGGAAGACTACAAGGAGAATCTGAAGTGGCTGGTTTTAAGTAATTACATTTTCTTAAACATGATTAAGTGATTAATTAGCTGACTCTAATCCGAATAAGCTGAATCAAATTTGCTATATTTTCTTGTTATTACAGCAAGTATACAACTTATACAGCAAAAACAAATTGTTCACGTTCTTGGCACCAGACGTAAATGCCTTCGGGCATCAGTTCAGGTTTCTTATTTCCTCCATCTATATACATCTAATTAATAAAGACATTATGAATATAAAAAGAAAAATTAGAGTTTTTTATTTATTTTATTCTTGGTAGGATCTAAACCTTGACTTGATCTATAACGCATACATTGGTATTTGGTCACAGGGACTACGATGCTGAGAGTGAGAGGCAGAAAAGCGTGGAAGCTTTTTACAAATCTCCATATATCAACCAAACTGTTGCTTTTGTAAGATTCTTTAAACTAATTTGGGTTTATATATTTATACGAGACAATATCTAAATAAAATCAATGTGATCCACGTAGAATATATATGTGTTATATCTCTATAAGTAAGACAATATAATGTACTTTTTCAGGTGACAAAGATGAGGGCTGATTTTGGAAAATTGGATAAAAAGGTGATGAGCATTTGGGAATGCTGTGAGCTCCTTAACGAGGTCGTAGATGAGAGTGATCCAGATCTTGATGAGCCTCAGATTCAACATTTGCTTCAATCCGCGGAAGCCATCCGCAAGGATTACCCTAACGAAGATTGGCTTCATCTAACTGCCCTCATCCATGGTAATGTGTTATTACTAATATATAGGGCCTTTTAAAAAAAAAATCAGAACAAGATATGACTATCTGAGCTAGTTCATGGTTAGATTTTTTTTTTACGTTTTATGAAAAAGCAAGAAAAATAATAAGCAAATCGAAATCGGATCTTCTTTGGTTTTGATTTGGTTTCAATTATTTAAGATTAGTTATATATGTATTTGAAGCAAGATTAGTCTTATATCTACTTTAATGAATTTTTTATTGGTTGTTTTCTTTATTTTCTACTAAGTCAGTCATGTACAATTATAGAAATTTGACGCCGTACTGATATTTTAATTCGTTTTTAATCCATTTTTCTGTGATCGTTTCGCTTTGATTTTATCGGATTGATCACTTAGTTGTGAATCAGAATTAAGAAGTTATTGGATTTACAGATCTTGGTAAGGTTATGACTCTTCCACACTTCGGAGGACTTCCTCAATGGGCTGTTGTTGGTAATTAAATTTTAATTTTGTCATTAATATATATAGTCACTAATATTTTAATCATGCGAATTATATGTGAAACTAATTGTTTATTTTTCTCTCACAAAAACTTGCAGGTGACACATTCCCTGTTGGGTGTGCGTTTGATGAATCTAACGTACACCACAAGGTAATCTATAGAAGGTTATGTTTAGAAGAAAAAAAAGTTATACACCCATTTTTTTTTTTTTTGTTAAAGGATCTTCAGTTTTACACCCAGATACATTATCTTGTTTTTTTTAAGAGTATACAAAAGCATGGTTAATTTAGAGACTGACGTTTTCTCTTTCTTTTCAGCAGTATCTTCTGGAAAATACCAACCCATCCTACAACACCAAAAATGGAATCTACAGTCAAGGATGTGGACTAAACAACGTCATGATGTCATGGGGCCATGACGACTACATGTACATGGTAATTAATCAATCCGTCACTTTCATTTTAAGATATAAGACTAATTTTACGAAAATCTAATCCATCTTGATTAATTTTAGTATAATGTAAAGTTATGTAATAACAGTTAATTATACAATCCCAGGTGGCTAAAGAGAATGGAAGCACTTTGCCGTCTGCAGGACAATTTATCATACGATACCATTCCTTTCAGATGTTGGATTATTGGATTTTCAGATTTTGGGAAGGAACACTTTCACAATTCGGAGGACTTCCTCAATGAGTTACTGTTGGTTAGTAATTTGAGATTTTTTTTGGTTTAAACTTAAGCTAGAATTTTTATGATTAATTTTTAATTATTCTAAATCATGTATGAAATTAACTGTATTTTTTCTCTCTCAAAAACCTACAGGTGACACATTCCTTGTTGGGTGAGCATTTGATGAATGTACACCACAAGGTACATCATCATAAGTTGTTAATTTATAATACATTTAAAAGGTTTTTATATATACCCATAAATAATATATGATTTTTCTTGAGAGTTATAGTAAAGCACGATTAATTTACTGACTTTAGTTATTTTTTTTTAACTTTTCCCTTCTTTTTTTACAACAGTATTTTCTGGAAAACACATATTTTCCAAACAAAGCCTAGCTACAACACCAAAACTGGAATTTACATTCAAGGATGTGGATTAAACAATATTAGTTAGAGCTTGACCTTCATCACGTCAACGTGAACTTTGTTTTTGCTGTATAACTTGTAATTACTTTAATAACAACAATATATAGCAATTAGAGGTTGTAGATATTAGGATCAATACTTAATCATGTCTTGATCCTAATAACTACGGTCTCTAAATTGCTGTATATTATTGTTATTACAGCAAGTACAACTTATACAGCAAGATCAAAGTTCACGTTGATGTGGAGAAGGTCAAGTCCTACACTCCTACTACATGTCCCTTATCTAGAAAGTGAGTATATATTCTTTTACAATTGTTAAGAAAATTATGAGTTTTCAACTAATTATTCTTTTTGATTTATTACAGTATTTTCCGGAGGTGGTGGTAAAGTGTGGAGAAGGAAATAAGTGGACATGGAGGATTTGCCAAAGTACTTAGTGGCCTTTGGCAACTTCTTATCAGATTTGTCAAGTTTTGTTATTTTTTTTACTTTGTCGTGGCTTCGAATCAGTGATGCAATTATTGGAGAGAACATTTTATCTTCTTAAAATCCTTGATCCAAGATTCATGAACTGCGAGCGACTCAATATGACAACTTCACATATAAGTCAATTAGTTTCTGTTTTACCATCTTTACATTTTTTTTTATTAAAGTTGACCATCTGGCAATTTTCGATTCATGACCACATGCATATGCAGCTATGAGTCTGATTTAAGGCACCAATTTCAAGTTATTGTGTGAATCAATCACGGATTCATTATACAAATGGACTATTTAGCAACAGAAGGATGTTATTAAGAGGGATGATAGAGTCAAAACATGCACTCTTGCTCTGACAAATTTATGTCTGTATAAGATACAGACCGTACAATATCGAGACATTTGAATTCACGTTTCTCTAGTAAGATCAAAAATCGCTGCAACTGAAGACAATTAGAGTTTTTTTTAACAGTGAATTCAATCTGATAGGAAGATAATTCAATTTAAGCAAGAAAATCTAGTCGATCAAATTGAAGTGCTACAAGGACGAACAAGACCACACTTAGTGAGAAATTATCATACCAGTTCCCACGGTGACATGAACTGCTTAAAAGATAGAGTAGAAGAGGAAAGCTCCATTGCAGATCAGAAGAACTTCTTCATCTTCTTGACGAATTCTCCGCCGTTTTCTCGCTAACTTCTTCATTTGATTTTTCTTCAGCTTGCAAGAAAAAAAAAATTCGCAGAAATTGGGATTCAATGTTTCAACGAAAGTGTCTACTGTAGCCGACGCATCTTTAGTTCCAGCCCATTTAAGAGTAGCCCATAATATTATAAGCCCAAAATATGTCAATATCCAATTACCCATGAATGGTTTTAATATTATGGGCTAGGCTCTACTGCTATCGCATGTCAAGGGATGCTTACGGTATCAAAGATGATTATGTAATTTTTTGTAATTTAATGTGAATGTAACCTTTTTTTTTTTGATAAAGTATGTGAATTTAACTTAAATTTATTTATAAGTATTTTTGGGATTTATTCGGTCTTATTAAATTTTAGTTTTACAACAAATCTGCAATTCAATTTCAATGTAGATGATAGTGATATATTGTAATTGTATATATACGAGAGATATTTAATATTTTACCTACACAGTATATAGTTTTTTTTTTTTTTTATATATACGCTCAGTACATAGTTGACGTATACAATTATATTGTAACATTGAATGTGCAGAAAAATATAGATAGCCTTAAAATTAAAAGAAACGCATTTGAAGATGATGAGTAGATATTTCGTCATGCATGTGTGGAAAAGCAAATCGGTATAATTAAGAATAAGATAACATATAAATGAAGGCCACGTAATGCTGACTCAAATCCTATATTTATTTTAAGAACTTTTTGACTTGTACAAGCTACAATCAAGCTAACACTTTTTCATATTTTTAAGGACAAGTGGACAACCTAATTGTTAATTTTATAATGTTGGCATATTAAAAGATTTACTGATTTCTCAACTATTAAATTATGATTGTGTTAGCAAATTACTAACATTGGTTTTTTGGTTAAGTAAGGCTGTTGACCGGATATAAACCTTATCTTATATACTCTCAATTTTACGTAAACTCTCTGCATAAATCTATAATTATGTTCAACCAACAATAACATGTTAAGAAAGAGTGTTCACATAAAATTTACAACAAAAAAATGAAAATTTCTTGATTAAATAATTAATTCTGATATGTGGAGTTTTTTTATTGGTCATTAACGTCCGTTTATAATTATATTTATCAACCATAAATCAGTTTCTAGACTAAAAAATTTCCAAAGATATTTTGGTAAACGCAATCTAGTTAATCCCAAATCACAACGTATATTCAATCAATATAAGCAAAAATAGAAACTACCGATTCTTATCTAAAATGATTAAAACACAGTCAAAACAATATCTAAAAAATCAGTCAAAAATAGCAAAAATTACACCAGAAAATCAAATCACTGACTGATCATTAATTTCCTTATCGTAAACTTTAGACAATACAAAAAAAGGAAAAACAAAAACAGAAAGTCGTTTCTGGTTTGGATAAATATAAAAAGTAGTTGTTTAGGAAAAATACATAATTCGTCAATAAGGACTTAGATTTTCTCCAAATATCAAGGAGGGGAATTGTCTCATAATCCTTATCCACCACTATAAATACCGTAACTCCTAATTAAACTCGTAAAGTCTTCAACGCAAAAGTATATATAATCAAAAGTTATTTTCTCTCTCAATCAAACCTAAACCGTCGTAACCATTCTCTTTCGTTTTCGTTTCTTCTCTTTAAAAAACCGTTCTTCGAAAAGATGACGATCTCTGTTGAGAAGCCGATTTTTGGTAAGAATCTATTCCCACAATATTTTGGGTAAAAAACGTCTTTATCAAGAATTCAAGATATTGGCTAAATCAACGATTTTCTAGGAAAACATTTAAAGTTTTGTTCCTCAAAAATAATGGATTTCGGTGGCTAACACAAAAAGTTTTTGGGAAAATATTTATGAATTTTTTTTTTCTTCTTTTCTAAATTACAAATATTTTTTTTTGCAAGTAGAGGAGGTTTCTGCATTGAAGAAGAGTGGGGACAAGATCGGAGAGTTGAAATTGGACGGAGGATTTTCGATGCCGAAAATGGACACCAAAGACGATGAAGCTTTTTTGGCACCTGAGATGAATGCATTTGGACGCCAATTCAGGTTTTTTTTTTTCTTTTACATCTATAAATTCAATTCAAGAAGAAATATTCTAAGTAAATCAAATCGAGTTTTTTTTTTTAGTTTTTGGCCGATGTAGACCTTGACTTGATCCATAACGTGTACATTGGTATTTGGTCGCAGGGACTACGATGTTGAGAGTGAGAGGCAAAAGGGCGTCGAAGAGTTTTACAGATTACAACACATTAACCAAACTGTCGACTTTGTAAGAATTCTTAAAAACTAATTAGGGTTTATGTTTTTAATGACAAATCTTATTAACACTTATGTGATCCACGTAGAATATGTGTATGTGTCATAATCTATTTCATTGATAAAGAAAAATAAAATAATTATGGATTCTATAGGTGACAAAGATGAGGGCTGAATATGGAAAATTAGATAAAAAGGTGATGAGCATTTGGGAATGTTGTGAGCTTCTTAATGAGGTTGTGGACGAGAGTGATCCAGATCTCGACGAGCCTCAGATTCAGCATTTGCTTCAATCCGCAGAAGCAATCCGCAAAGATTACCCTAATGAAGATTGGCTTCATCTAACCGCTCTTATTCATGGTAAATTTTGTTATAATGTAAACAATAGTCTTTTCTATGAACTAGTTAAAGTATCTATCTGGCTAATCTATTTTTTATTTAGACTGTTTGTATTATAGAAAATTAAAAAAAGGAATATGATATGTAGATCCTTTTTTTTATTTGTTTAAGTGATTGAATTTGATACACCTATAATCTGATAGTGGGGAGCTTATTTATGGAATTTATTGAATTTTTCAGATCTTGGAAAGGTTATAACTCTTCCACAATTCGGAGGACTTCCTCAATGGGCTGTTGTTGGTAATTCAAGTTTAATTTTGTGATTAATATTTTAATTATGCGAAATATATGCAAAACATATGCGAAACTAATCGTTTTTTATCTCTCACCAAAACTTACAGGTGACACATTCCCTGTTGGGTGTGCATTTGATGAATCTAACGTACACCACAAGGTACATAAATGATACAATCTCATAAATTGTTAATAGAAATTAATTTACTAATTTTGTTACAAGTTCTTTACATACTCAAAATATATGAATTTCATCCCATTCTCATGAGTTTTATACCAAAAACAAGCAACAATTAACTTAATTAAATCATATTTACATTGTTTCTCTTTTCTGCAGTACTTTATAGAAAACCCAGATTTTCACAACAAAGCCTACAACACTAAAAATGGAATTTACTCCGAAGGATGTGGACTAAACAATGTCATGATGTCTTGGGGCCATGACGACTACATGTACTTGGTAGTTAATTGACTAATACCTTTCCACTTTTAGAGTAATGATTTTTAAGAAAATTTGATCAATCTTGATTAGTAAAGTATCAAGTGATTTTATTTATAATTGTTAATTACCATTTTCCAGGTTGCTAAAGAAAACGGAAGTACCTTGCCGTCCCCTGGACAGTTTATCATACGATACCATTCCTTTTACCGTAAGCACTTCAACTAAAAATATATGATTTTAGCAACATTATAAATTTGTAGCTACGAGTAAAGCTTATTTTATAAACTAATCGAATATATGCAGCACTGCACACGGCTGGAGAATACACCCATCTTATGAATGAGGAAGACAAGGAGAATCTGAAGTGGCTACATGTTTTCAAGTAATTACATTATCTCAAACATGATTAAGTGATTTAGTCTTTCTCAAAATAGCATCTCTAAATTGGTATATATGATTTTTATTACAGCAAGTACGACTTGTACAGTAAGAGCAAAGTTCATGTTGATGTGGAGAAGGTCAAGCCCTACTACATGTCTCTTATCAAGAAAGTGAGTACTGAGTATAAATTGCATGTTCATTGCGAAAAATAATGAAAAGTATATTAAGAGGTATTTGAAAGCATTCATATATATATATATTTCTTCCACAATTCGGAGGACTTCCTCAATGGGCTGTTGTTGGTAATTCAAGTTTATTTTTGTGATAAATATTTTTATTATGCGAAATATATGCAAAACATATGCAAAACTGAACGTTTATTTGAAAGCTGACTATATATTCTTTCTTCTCCTTTTCTATTTGCAGTATTTCCCGGAAAACTTGAGGTGGTGAATTCGGTGGAGAAAAAGTGGCCATGAAGGAGTAGTCGTTTTATCTACTTATAAATATTTTTTACACATTGTCGAGTTAATGTGAATCTATGGTGATTGTGTTATATTATATCTTATGTTAATTATATATTCCGGCTGAATTGTAATCACAATCAACCCTCGTGAATGCTAAAGAGTTTGTACGTTGGGGTGACATAAGATCTTAAATAATGAAGTTTATTTATAATCCATGGACCTATGGTAAACAAACTGTACAATGTTAAACAAAGTTTTATTAACAAAAGTGTATGGAATAAAACTGAAAGGAAACACACAAATGTACAACAGTACTGATACATCGATACGAACAATGTCATGACCTTTCTAGCTCATACACATTCAGAGAAGGAATGATCAAATTGATCTCGGTAAAGACCTTTGCAACTTCGCTTGGTCATGGATAGAAAATTACGTACCAAACATGCTTTGCTATGTAGCTAAAGGCTTTCTGGAGTGTAGAATTCGTAAGATACGAAATCACATATTTATATCTGAAGATGATATTGATCCATTCTTACTGACATGAAGGATTCACCATGTTTTAGTTGATAGTTGAAAGCAAGAATTTGAATATTTGCATTTTGATTTTAGTCCTGCACAATTTTAACGTTTTAAATACAAAAATAACCATTATCACATTCACACGATGATCACGCATTGACAATTTAGTCAATTACTATGGATCCTAGATTATTATTATTATAAACAAAAATTACATACTAATTTTTATTTTTGTATGAGCAGAATGTATAATCAGATAAATGGAACTTATATATCTGCTTCATCATGAGGTGGAAAATTACAACATGAGGCATCTACAAAGCAATCTTTGTTATGCCAAAAAGGGTAAAACCGTCAAAACCCTTTTTATTTTACTCAACTAACTAAAACATGTAACATCATTTGAAAAACCAAAGCTTATGTCGTTGTTCTTATGTTCTTATGTTCAGGTCACTTGGTGATCTCTTTGGTGACTGGAGGAACATCGACCGTGCCATTGCAGTTGCCATCGTCGAGGAGAGCCGACATCGGCTTCTCTTTATTATCAAAGACATCTTTGGGGCCCAAGAAACTCGGCTGGTTTGTCGAAGAGAGTAGCCTTGCCCACATCCTGTCTGTGATCACCACATGGTTCTGTTTCTCCGTTATCCTCTGCAACATCACAGCCAAATCGACACAATGATGATGGATTACATGCAAATGATGGTAAATTGATGATGATGATAATTTTATAGTGATAAGGTATAAGGATAATGATTATAACGGTGATGATAACAGATGACATTATGATGGTGCTCTGTTTTTCGATTGCCAAACCGATGTTTTGACATCATTAAAATATAAATCGGTTTTGTGACTTACGTAGAAGGGTATGTAGGTTTGTCGTCCGTTCACTAAACCACTGATATAGCCAGTGTATCCAGCCATTGCACCGTGCACTGCACTCTGAGCCAGAAGTGTACAATAAACATTGTCTGACGCATTGCTGGGAACAGCCCGAATCATGTATGTTGGATCTGAAATTAAGACAAGAGAAATGATCTAAGAATCAGAAAAACAATCAAGAAACTCATGGTGGAGAGAATGAAATGCAAGAGATATGAGTTGTACCTATGTACTTGAGGTTCATCACCATCTTCTTCTGATTAAAATGATCCTACGACCGAGTAAAACCAAAATTTAACAGTAGGTGAGTTTAGTCTGATTTTACTATGCATCAATGTTTGATGCTTTCTCTGTAATATATGGTTTACCTTGATGCTTTGTGACAGCCAGAGACCAACATCTTTAAGAAGTTTGTTACCAGATGCATCCTTGAGTGTCATAGATTCCATGCTCTTCGACATTAGATCTTGTCCTGCACCTTCTGCAATCACGAGTACCATGTGACCACTCTCCTTGAGCCGTTTCTCTATGTACTCAAACAGCCCGCCTTCTCCTTCCAGGTAAAATGGTGACTCCGGAATCAAACAGCAGTCCACATCTCTGCTTGCTAGAGTCGCGTACATCGCTATGAAACCTATTAAAAGAGTGCATGCACTTGTGAGATAATCTAATAAGAGAGCTTGAAAAGGCGAAGAAGAAGAAGTAGAAGAGTGAATCACTCACCGCTGTAGCGGCCCATAAGCTTGACAACGCCAATACCGTTCTCTATACTCTCTGCTTCCACATGTGCTGCGTTAATAGCTCGTTGAGCCTCTTCTACAGCTGTGTCAAACCCAAAAGATTTGTCTATCACCTGCACAAACACAAAAGTTAAGTTCCCAATTTCTTCACGTAAGAAATACAGCTCTTCTATAGAGATGAAGCAGAGTAGAAAGGGATACATACAGGTATGTCATTATCGATTGTTTTCGGGATTCCAACAACTGCAACTTTCAGGCCACGTCGTCTAATTTCCTACATGGGTACCACCAAAAGATCAGTAAATGCTGAAAAGTGTACAAATTTGTAAGGTATAAATAGAATTTACCTCAAATATAACAGATGCTCCTCGCTGAGTTCCATCTCCTCCTATAATGTAAACCTGAACGATGAAAAAAACTACATCAAGAACGAGTTTTTATATACTTTTGGAACAGAACACTGTGTAAAGAGGTGGTGGTTATCCAAACCTGATTGATTCCTCGATCTTGAATGCTGTCAACTATCTTTGTGGTATCGTGACCACCTCGCGAGGTCCCAAGGATAGTCCCTCCACGCTTATGGATATCATTGACAACTTTAGAGTCCAAGGAGACAGTATTCTTAGCATAAAAGCCTCTATATCCACCCTGAAAAAGTTTAAAGCATGAGAAAATGACACAAGAAAAGACCGTGTTTGTTTTGGTATGAAGGAGATTATAATCACAGAAACTTACATCTATTCCCAGGATTCTCTTCACTCCATACATATAAGATAAACTGCTCACTATTTCTCTAATCACGGTATTAAGGCCAGGACAAAGACCTCCACAGGTAACTATGCAAGCATGCACTTCATCAGATTCGAAGTATACCTGCAGAGAACTAAGTCAACAACAGATCCTATTGAAATGGGAAAAGGACTTTAAAGCAATTCGACAAGCGAAAAAACCTTTTGACGTGGCCCGGCTCGTCTAAAATGAATTCCCCTTGGACCATCCTTGTGAACAACGATCTAAACAACAAGGAGAAGAGTCAATAAGAAAAACATGAACTTTAAATTCTCAGGCTGCCATGGATATTATAGAAAGCTCCAAACCAAATATACCTTTTGAGGAACACTATCATCAGCATCAACAAAGTATTGCCTGAAAATTTCCAAAAATAAAAAACTCATGTAACAACTGCAAGCTAATGATTGAATCACCATAGAACATAATTAGGAACCATAGTCCCCAAAACATCTGTGAAAAGAACTTACTTCACCACTGAGTATGCTGGATTGTCTTGCAGTGGATTAGGATAAGTCTGCAAAAACATAAAACCAAAAGAAATTTACCATTAATCAAACTTAACCATCATTTGATTCTAACATGGTAATGACTAAGTCTAAAACCATGTCACAGAATTTGATCCAAGTTCATAATTCTTGAGACCCAGATACAAAAGATCCCTCTTTTTTCCTTGGGCTATGTTATACTAATCAGAATCTGAGAAATTCATTTCATCTATCTTAAGTTTCCAAATAAAATAAAAAAACTAAACAGTTATCACCCAGCTGAAACTGATACACAAACATGCACAAATATCTATCTATCTAGATAAAGTTTCAATCTTTTGCAACAGTAAAGCTCAAAAGCTAAAGTTTTAGTCAAATCAGATCAAAAAAGAAAAAGACCAGAATAAGAGATCAAGAGCTAACATACAGGAAGACCAGGAAGGTAATCGGAGAGATGAGGAACATCTTCTAGAACATAACCACAAGAACCATTGATGATCTTCGGTTTGCTACTCTCTACAGTACTCATAGCGACTCACGAAACAGAGAAACAACAATCTTCAGGGGAGAAAAGTTTTATAATTTAATAAAAAATCGAATTTTTTTTTCTCGTGTAGAGACTTTGAACTCGTCAACGACAAATTGAATACGAAATCAGGAAGAAAGAATTAGAAAGATGAATCAAATCCGTAGATCAAAAACAAGGCGACCCTTTTTTATAGGATTAGAGAGTTTTGACCATTGGAGAGAGAAAACCATTAAAGGTATTAAATTTGTATGGAAATGGTGGTTTTGGTCACTGCTTTGGAGACTATTGATCAAACATGTGGCGGGCTTTGACGGACTTTGCCGCAATAATATTGGTCATCGGGAAAACTAGTATAAGAGTGTGTAACGACGACGACTAGTACAAGTACTTGGAGAGAAGGTCGATATTTTTCTAGAAAATACTATTCTTTTACTTATTGGTTTCTATTTTGTTACCTTTTATTGATTTTTTCCAACTGTTGGGACTTGGTTATCAAGTCAAGGTCAAGCCATTGCATTAATCCGGTCCGACCGAGAACCAAAGTAACCGATCCGGTTTGTTATTGTTCTCAAAAGGAAAAAAAAAACTTTGATAAAGGAAAACACATAATATCACTCAGAATTTTAAAACCATGAACCTTACATGATCAAAGGATAAAGCCATAAAGGTACTTATTGTTACAATGCATTTCAAAGGAAACCACAAACAACACAACATCATTCAGAATTTTAAAACCATGCATCAAAAGGGTGACTTATTAATTATTAATTTATTGCAATGCATTTTCAAACCAAACCTCAGAATTCCAAACCGGAATCTTTGAGTTTCTCCTTCATGATCATGTCGATTTTGTTACCCATTTCCGGACTTAGATGATTCTTCCAGTCACCAACTATCCCTTTGCGGAAATGGTTCTTGTACTCTATGCCATTGATTGATTTTCCTGTCTTGTTCACATCCAAACTTCTCAGGTTAGGCAGAGAACACATCTCCAAGATCTTATCTACTGATCCATTCCTTTCTTCTTCCTTAGAAAATGGACAACCCAAGAACTCTGCGAGTTTCTTGAGCTGACCATGAGGATCTATTTTTATTTCATCGTACCTCATGAAAAGCACTTGCTTTGGCTTTTCCAAGCTAGCTTTCCAATAACTCAGGATATGGTCCCAGAACGGACCAAACAAGCAGACTCCGCTGCAAAAGGACTCAAACATAGACTCAAGAATGGTTCTGTCCTCTTCTTTATTCAGACTCCTGCAAACGATATGCCAACGTGACACCAGAGAATCCTTCGCGTCCCTGCAAATGTAAAGTACCTTGCAAGGAGAGTCTTTGAGAGCTACTTGGAGCGTGTTGAAAGGCGTGTGAGTAGAGAACAGCCTTGGAGATGATGATGAGAGCTTGGTCAAGTCCGGTGTTTGGGTATCGCGGTAAAGATTCATCTCAAGGACAGGTACGAGGTTGTGAGGATTGTTGGATAAAAGAGGATGGCTCGTAGGATCATCAGAAGAAGGGTTCTTTGATCTCTCAACGAGCGCAACTGTGAGTGCCTTGAGCCACAGGGTGCCGCATTTTGGGTACGATGCGACGATAACATCGGTGTCTTGAGGCTTAAAACCTCTCTGGAAATTGAGAACACCTTGGAGAAAGTTGTAGTAATACCAAGAACCTTGGTACTTGCAGAGGTTTCGACCGAGGTAGGCTTTCTCTGAAGGAAGTGAAGAGATTAGAGTCTTTGTTTCTTCCGTTAAGTCTTCGTCTCTCAAGTTCATCCACTTCTCCATTTTTCTTTTGTTTTTACTTTTAGCTACTTTTTTTGAATACAAATTGTGTGTTTGCTTCAAACAAAACCTCTAGGCTAGCATCACTATTTATATTAAAATGTTAAAACATTTGATCCAATAAAACGTTTACACATCACTTTTAAGTTTTAAGATATTTATTTTATAAAGTTACGAACATGTATCTCAAGAATCGAGAGGCAATGACGTAAAATAAAGAAAGAGAGAGAGAACGTGGTAGGGGCAAATAAATCAGAAATTATGAGTGCATGTACGTATTCTTATCTAAGTACCTCAGCCTTTGTCTCAGCCTGCCCGAATGGTCATTTGATGATTCAAGAATATACAGTGTCCAGACCTATATCACTTTAATCGAGAGTGTTTATATTCAAACGTACATGACTTAGCAATGTCAGCATTAATATAAATAATCACTGATACATTTCTTTTTTTAATAATGCAGAATTTTATATCATAGATCATTTCCTATCGCAAGATAATGTCTTAGTTGATTATAGGTTCTAGCAATCTGCAGCTTTCATTTTTATTTTTAAGGTGGTTACTGGCTAGTTTAAGTGTGACGTAACCATAAGAGAATTGTTCCATTTTAGTTTGTGTGTTACTACTAAACGTTGGTTCCTTACTAAAATAGTTGGCGGGAAGGGTAATTTTCTTGGCCTACACTTCTCTGCTATTTAACCAGAGCTTGAAAAACAAATATAGATGTGCATGACACAATTCATAAGCAAATATACAAAATTGAGGGAACAAATTTACGTAACATTTTGAGGGAACAATTTATATATGCATAGAATTTGTACAAAACCCTATATAAAACCGATTTTTCTGTGATCAAGATAATTGATAAAAAAACAATCCAAAATTCGAAATCAGTCGTTCATAATTATTATTCAATTCGAATATGGGATCAAGAAAAAAAGAGTCAACGTTATGTTTTTATGCAAGGCCATAGAAAAATAGAGTACATATAATTGATAAGTTTGATAGAAGAAACAGAGTAAAACGTTATCCATAGGCCACAGCTTGCACGTAAGTAATACCTATACATTATTATCGTTTATTCGTTATCCTTTTTTTCTCTCTTACTAAACCGTATCTCTTCGCTTATCTACAAGCATTTATGTAATCCTCTCTTTCTTTCTATATAGATAGCAAAACACACCTTAATAAAAAAAAAACTAGAACAAAACACAAAACATCTCGACAAGAACTCTCTGTTCTGTTCTTATCGTTCAAGAAACCTTTTCTTGTTTTCCTTTTGGTTAAGACTTAAAAAAAAGAGGATCAAATAAGAATCCAAACATAATTGACAAAAGAAGAAGAAGAAATGAACATTCGCGATGGTAATCTGATTTCGACAACAAAAGAAGAAGGTGGTGTTGTAGGAGTTTCAAGATCCTCGGAAAAAGATCCATCTTCATCTTCATCGTCTATCTCTATTTATTCATCTGATTTAACAGAGGATGCTTCTTCTTCTTCTTCTTCTCCAAATGGACCTTTTGACGATCTATCAGACCTAATCTCTCAGCTCCCTATCATGTAATGACTTTGATTTTTTTTTCACACTGTGCTTATTTATTCTCTTTAATCGATCTTATCTCCATTGACACAAAGTCTTAACAATTTGTTTTCTTATTGTCTTTTTTTTTTTTTTGTTTTACAGCCACGTCAAGAAAGGAGGACTTTCAAAGTATTATAAAGGCAAATCTCAGTCATTCACATCTCTAGCAAATGTCACAAGCTTACAGGATCTTGTGAAGAGAGGATCAAGAACGAAGTCATGCTGCAAAAGGGATTATTTATATGGACCAAAGGCCACAATCTCCATGAAAGCCACAAGAACATCCTCAAGCCATTCCAATTCAAGATTAACTTTAAAACCATTTCATGATTCACCAAAATCAGTTCAATGACATGACAAAACAACCTTCTGGGTTCAATTTAACATTGTATTCATTTGTATACAAGTTTGCCCAAGCTAAATGAGAACAGAGATAATTTAGGGCTCAACGAACGCCTTTTTCACTAATTGTGCAGAAAAATTGTCAAAACGAGTAAATAACCTTGACTTTTAGGTCGTTTAATTGCAATGTGATGCATCAAATCTTGTAAACAGGAGTGATTCCAAGAAGGTGGAAGCATTTCCGCATAACTATGGCCGTTGCTTCACAAAGTAAGAGACGGCTTGTCTCCTCTGGTGAACCATTGACCTGCGAAAGTTCATGTTTTTAAGTGAGATCAAAATAATGGTGGTTGATTATGCAGCTATGTGGTCTCATATCAAAATATTAAATAGAAATGTAGAATCTTGTGAATGCACACCTGACAATTGGAGTAGAATCTGGTGTAGTGTTCAGATAAATTGTAGAGGTACTCACACAGTACGCTCGGTAACAAGTTGGTGCAAGCTTCCTCAACCGTCTGCAAATCGTTCACACATGAGTTGTGCAATTCTTCATCTTTTTGCCGAGAAAAAGAAACCAAATATGAAAGACGTATCTAAAGAGAGCATTTGTTACCTCAGCAAATCGAAGCAAGTGAAGCCCCAGTGCTCGTTCATCTGCATGATCCAATGCTAGTTTTCCTGTCTGCAATGAATCAGATGTTGAAACATAAGAATTCCTCTTTATCGTACTGCATATGGTAGGAACTAATAACGGTCTTCCTAGGTGTTCGACGATTCATTTATTATGAAAATGTGAAAGATAGCACAGCCAAGAAAATAGAAAAGACAAAAAAAGGCTCAGGGTGTATACAAATGAATCTTGAGACTCCCAGATTTAAATGCTCACTATAGACACTGGTATTAAGTTAAAAGTTATAACACTTCTGAAAATTGTTTAAGTTTTCAATTTCAAACTAAATAGATTATAATGTCGCATTTCCTTGATAGAGACAATGGGAAGTTTCAGGTGCAGCCAAGAGGAACAAAGAATAAAGTTAAGTGATTCATGTTCATGCAGCTAAAATACCTTTTTCAGCTCATCTATGTCTTTGCCAGACTTTCTGATAATTGAACAGATCCGAGCATGGGCGTAAAGAAGGTAAACGGCTGTATTTCCCTGCTCATGACATGTGATCAATAAGGTTGTGTAGGTGACTGCATAATGCAAATATGTAAACTAGTGGCAAATTCAAGTACCTTGTCATTAAGCATTTGATCAAAGCTGAAAGTATAATTTGTTAATCTGTTGTTCTTCAGGTCAGCATACCTTGAAGAAAATTAAACAAAACCGCAAATTAGCTTGTAGCATGAATTTAAGGCAACTACTGTAAAAGCATCTGGCAAATAATTCATCCTAATTGAGCGGCCTTAATTACAAAATGTCACCGAAAACCAGAAGATACTGAATAAAATTCACTATCATCAGCAGTAGAATAGAAATGATACTTACTTCACCGCACCATATCCAACTGCCTCAGCTGTTTGGTCCAGTTCCTCCGGTGTCCATTCTTTGTCCTTACCTAAACAGAGAAACAGCATATAAGGATTAATAGACCACATAATAACTGAACAAATGAATGGTTCAACAATTCAAAACGTAGACAGTGCTGACAAAGTTAGATACCGCGCTCAATAAGGGCAAGTTTACTGCGAGTCTTGGCCTCATCTAGCAAATCAACTAGGCGGACTACATCTGTTGCCCGAGTTCTAAATCGCTTGCCATCTTCCCCAAGGACGAGTCCAAAACCAACATGGTTAACTCTAGGGTAAGTTTTATCATTGTCTGGAAGCCAACCTGCTTTTCTGGCAGCCTAATACAGAGTACCATGATAACCACAGTTACGACTGACAGTTTCAATCAAGACACAATATTTCACAAGACGTCAAAAACAATAAAATATTCATCAAACCTACTTTGAAGAACATATTAAAGTGCTGCTGCTGGCCAACATCGGTCACATATATAATCCACTCAGCTTTCTCTTCATTGAGCCGGTACCTGGGCCAGGCAGAATTTAGCACAAGCAGACAATCCATTGAACAAAGTGCAAGTTCAGATCAAACTTCAGCAAATACAGAAACGGAAAGTCATTATATACGAGATCTATTTTCAAAAGATCGCTACTAAAATCCGGATTTCATGGAATAGTTAACATAAAGATAACCCACCAAAGAGCAGTCAAATCTGTTGAGGCATAGTTAAAACCACCATCACTCTTTACAACCATGAGTGGGATGTCAAAGCCTTCAAGGAAAATCACACGAGCACCTTCACTTTCTTCAACCAATCCCTTGCTATTCAATTCCTCAATTACTTTAGCAATATAAGGGTTGTAAAAGCTTTCTCCCTGTCATGAATTGAATCAATGCATTTTTCATTACCCATCCATGCATCTCTTCTCCATTATATCTCAAATAATATAGTACAGGTCCAGCTATATCTTTACCTTTTCTTCAACTTCAACTCGAAGGCGTTGGTAAACCTTGGCAAACTCAGTTCGGCTGATGTCACAGATCTTAGCCCAAGCCTTACGGTAAACAGGATCACCACCCTGCATCGTAGAAAGGAAAATATTAGACTAGTGAGTAATTTAGATCTTGCAACCAAAGGCAGCTGCAAATTGAGACACTGCGAAACAGAATAACGCACCAGTGATTTCGGTTAGGAGAATTATTATTTACCTGTAGACGGACCACAGCCTGTTGTGCTTTTTCCTTAAAGTCCTCATCCAGATCAAATTTATGTTTTGATGCCTTGTAAAACACCTACCAAACGACATCTAAGGTTAGAAACTATATTGCTTTGGTTCTTCATCACAAGCATATTAGGCCACTGCTACATAATAAAACTGTAAAGCTTGAGAGGCCATATGATGGAAGGCAGCTGACCTGAAGATCTCCAATTGCTGTCTCGGTCACACTGTCTGTATCAGGAAATTTCTCAAAGAGGTACTCAATTAGCATGCCAAACTGCAGAATAAAAGCAGCTTTTATTTCTCTGATAAAAATTGGAACACAACAATTACAAAATATAAAAAAAATCAAGGTTAAAAAATCATTTGAAGAGCAGAAAAGTAGCTACCTGTGTTCCCCAGTCACCAACATGGTTTCTGCGTAGAACTTCAACATTTGAGTACTCGAGCATGCGAGCTAGCGTGTCACCAATGATAGTTGATCTAAGATGACCAACATGCATTTCTTTTGCAATGTTCGGAGAGGAAAAATCAACTACAGCTCGCTTAACGGAAAGAGTAGGTGCCCATGTGTCAACTCCATTGATGAGCATATTTTCAATACTCTGCGGATAGATTAGAAAACAGTTATGCTTAACATATATTATTTATATGAGCACTAGAACATGACTATAGAAATACAACAGGAGTACCTTAGCCATCCACTTAGCTGATAGTACAACATTAATAAAGCCAGGTCCAGCTACAGAGCATGATTCCACCATCTCAGAAGTAGGGAGACTCTTAACGAGGGCCTATGTGAGAACAGAATAAGAGTTAAAGAACAAATACAAAATAGGATAAGAATCTGCTTCACGACATACAACATACAAAAAGCCACGAAATTCAAAAGACCATATAAACCAACCTGTCCAACAGCTGGAGGACCCTTGAACTGAGTACCCTTTCCTTTAATTATGGACCATAGTCCCATTGCATTGTTACTGCAGACAACAATATGATGAAAGAATCAAATTCAACAAACGGAAAAGAGTTAAATTGAAACTTTAAAGTTCAATGAATTAAATAAAAGAAGGAGCACCATTGGTAATCTCCAAATTTTCCAAGAGCGGAGGCAGCAACCAAGGGCTCAACACTAGGTTCATCAGGAACCGTTAATTTTAGAGACACATCAAAGAGCTTAGCGAGTTGGCGTTTTAGATTTCCCGTAAACTCTTCATTCTGTCATTAGCACTCAAAAAATCAGTCATGTTATATTTCAAAACTTTCTCTTGGATATAAAAACTGCTGACTTACAGCTGCCATGGTTGCTACGGACTTAGCTCTGGTTGCGAAAGCAAATCTCCAAGCCGTTGCTCTCAATTTTTCTGACTAGGTTACAAAACCACATAGCGAAATCAGTACACGCAAATAGCAAACAAAGTATCATTTCGCAAATAAATCCAATAAAAAAAAATGGACAAGTGGAAAACAAAATCAGAATATGCTAGCAACAAAACAACTACAAGAAAAATGGACTTGCACTGCTAATAACAACAAGCTAATCTCACAAATATTGCAATAGAAATGTTATTCAGTGACCTAAAAACTTAAGAAGCAAATGGAGAAATGTAGGCAGAGCACAGATAACAACAAGTAGATGGAACGAGAGATAAGAGCTCGGAGAGAGGATTTTACCAGTCGGAGAAGAAGAAGAAGAAGAGAAATAAGCAAAGTGATGATGGGACCGAGAAAAACGATTCAAGGAGAAGAGAGAAGACGGCGGTGTTGCTGTGACCGGAAAAAGGGTTTGGCTTATTATTGCCATTGCCAATTTTCTATCTCTCGGCTTTTTTTCCTTTTTCTTATTTTTTATTTTTACTTTTAAAAATTTTTGTAAGGAAATATTTAGTGTTGGGCCGAAAATTAATAGTAGGCCCAAGATAGTGTCTGCGATCGACAGATTCGTTGAACGTTTGGCGAAAGTTCAACAAACCAACGAGAAATTTACTTACAGTCGTCGACGAGATAGAGTAAGAAATAATGAAGGATGAGAAATCATACCACGGTGGATGATATCAAATGATCGGCGGAACACGGCGGTAGGCGAACGGAGTGAGTCGGCGGCGAGAGTTATGTCGTAAAGAGTTTTTTCTTCTGTTTTGGTGGTATTTAGGGAGTAACACTATAATCACCTATCTTAGGTTCGTTCCAAGCGTTCTACAACGCAAAAAGCCAAAAAGGTTTTCTAAGAAAAATAATTAACCTTTATGAATCTGTAATCTTTGTATACACTCTGGAAGACTTCACATATATAATTTGTAACACATTAATCCACGCAAGTCTTAGAAGCTCCGAGATTATGACAACTGGAACAATAATAATAGCTTCATAAACACTAAACCCCTAATCTTTCTATCAAATGCTTCTCAACTTCTCCTCCATAAGAGAAGCATTCAACGACTACTCAAAAGAGTTTCATTTGTTGTCCCTGTAATGAGAGAAAGCAAGAAGAAAACTAATGTGAGCAAACAACAAACTGTGTAATATATTAAAGCGATGACTTAATTAATAAATATTAATACCTCTTAACAAAAGAGTCATCCTCAGTGTTTATCACAATCTTTTCACCTGCCTCGAGATAAGATGGTACCTGAGGTATTCAAGGTGGAACCAAGAGTTATTTTGGTAGTTAGATGAACCAGACTAGTTCCTGATCGCATGTAGTTTGGAGATCAAAGAATACTAATAGTTGCAACTTCCCAGAATGAGTACTTACCTGAATAGTGGAACCATTATCCAGGAGCGCTCTCTTGTACCTACAATTTAATAAGGCGTTTTCTCATTACTTATAAAAGATTGATTCATGGTGTTGAGGAAACAATGGTACATGTGCAAATCAGTAATATGTTACACGCATATACTGTATAGATAAATAGCGTTACTGATGTTTTTAAAAGACATACCGAGGAGCTGATGTTAGGCCTTTCATGGGATCTTGTGTTTCTACAACTGTGCATGTAATATGCTTAGGGATAGATGCAGATAAAGCTCTTCCATCATACAGCTGCAACTGAACTTTCATTTCCTCTGTCAATCACGAGTAAATAGCAAATATGTTAAGTATTTCTAGCACATGCCAGCCAGGCCAAATAATTCAGCAAAACAAACCAAATTGGAAAAGAAAATCCTCAAAAAATGACTGCATTGCTCTCAGATTTTCTATATTGGTGTATAGACAACCATCAACAAAGGATTCAAAGCATGACATGCACTACGAATGAAATCATACCAACCTTTTAAATATACGGCAGCTTTGCCAAATATGTCCAGTGGCACTTCAACTTGTTCAAACGTATTAGGCCTGTTGGATATACATAATTAAAGAAATAATGTTTAGCAAACTCAAGGTCCTACCGAATGTTTAAGATGATATAAAACAGGTAAGGGGATTACACAAAAAATGGACTTACTCAATCAGAAATGCAGTATCTCCCTCTGTATACAAACACGTGAAAGATTTCTCCTCAACAAAAACTTCTGCAGTAAATTGATGCAATCAATCAATATCACATCAAAATAATCGACCTATCCTACAATGCTAATAGCAAAATGGTTAGAGAACCCAAAAAGAATGTTCTTCAGTAGGTAAGAGATTAATTAACACTAAGCTACGAATGCTATGGAATAAGCAACATACTCTCAACAGACTCCTCAGATCCAAACCGTAAGTTAAGCTTATTCCCAGTGTCAACATCACGAAGCTCAACCTGTTCCCCCAAAAGAAGAGAGATGCAAATGTTGAGGCTAAGAGACAGAATATCAACAAAAAAAACGATATAAACGATCAAAACATTAGACTGTTGATTGCATAAAACAAGTCAAGAACCAGAGGCTAAGATAAAGGGAGACCCGTATTTAACAATATGGTTCTCAGCATGAATCAAATTCTAACTCACTTGAATAATCACTAAATCAGGATTCCTAAGTTGGTAGTTGGTACTCTCACATAGAATATGAAAATTTGACATTTCGAGTAGAGATTAATACCTGTATGGAAGCTCCTCCTCTACCTTGTTGTTTATGCTCTGCTTCTACAACCTACATCAAAAAAAAAGAGATACTCGGTGTTTCTCAATCCGAAGAACTAAAAAACTCAAAGATATAAAACAAAATGTCCAAATGACTAACCCGAAAAGTACGTCCTGAAGGTGCAACGGTCCATCAAAATTGAGTTAAATCATATACTAATCCAAAAACGTTGACATGTATAATCAAAAGGAGAAAACTTCAAAAACCAAACCTGTTCGTTCAATTACATTCCCTGCCCTTAGCTGAAAAATTAAAAACCCAATAAATCAGAGGACACAGATAATCTTTACTCGTGTGAGCTCAAAACAGTTCAAGAGCCGCAATAATTTACTAGTTGCTAATCAAATGAACAAGAAACTTTTATCTCCGCAGTTAAACTTTACCTGAATCGCGTTAACTTTAACACCGCGGCGTTGTAAAGCAGACCACGGGGACTGAAGCGGAGGCGTTTCTCGGCAGCATCCACCGGCGGCGTAAGGGGTTGATGACAACAATCTGCTCAAAGAATACAGTGATCTCCTAGTCGTTAGAGCTCCGGGAGAAGTGGTATTAGAGAAGGAGAAGAGAGATCGAACTATTGAGATTCTCTTCAAATGGTGCAGCCCTCTCATCTCCGTTTAACCCTCTAATCGTGATTCTCACTACTCCAATCGAGAAAACTTAAAAAAAAATCAAAGACGGCGTGTCATAATCGCAAAGACGCCGTTAAGACAGGACTAACCAATTACGGTGTCGTTTCGATGCTGATGGTATTAATCGCAATGACGCCGTTAAGACAGCGTTGTTTCTCCGGAGCTAACTGGGACGTTTCACGAGCGGCAACCCTCATCGACGGACAAGGCCTTTAGAATCTAATGGGCCTTAAAACTAGCCCATTACAATCACTATTTTACGTTATTTGCTCACACACGTAAACGCCTTCCATTACTTTATTCAACTACTTTAGAGATGAGAGCAATTGTTATAAACCAAAAAATAATCAATATCTTGAAGTTAAAATTATTTTCGATTTCATCATGTAATACTAAAGCGGACTGTTTAGCCCGTTATTCTAGACTTTTATTTTCTGAAGTTTCTTTTGTAAACACTTTTCCTCCTAATTGGGTAACCAACCAAGGAGTTTTTTAAATTAATGTGTGGTTGAAAAAAAAAAAAAAATTTATTTTGGTATAAATTATATTAATACTACTTTTCTTAGAAGATGTCATGATTATAAAGCTTACAAGTTGTTTGCTTGTTGTCCCTCCCACTATAATGCTTTGAGATTAAGATTTAGGGAGTGATTGGCACAAGGCTTTAAAGACTTTAGAGCTATTCTAAAGTCTTCACAGCATTTTTTTTGCCAATTAGGCTTTTATGACTTTAATTATTTTTAAAGTTCTCAAAGCCTTCTTTTTTTCTTTCTTTCTTTGTTTTCCTTCTTTTTCTAAAGTCTCAAAAACGTGGCTTTAGATTTCTGAAGACATTTATCAAATGCATAAACAATTAAAAGATTTTTTTTCTTATCCCCATAATAATGAAAAACTCTCTACATGTTTACATATATCTTTTCATAATTTTTTTTATATAAATTAATTATTTTCATTTTTCTATCTTTTTTTTATGATCCATTTCACTAATAATCATTTTATTTTCATCATCATCATTAATGTTGGTTTAAAAGAGTATATAGAATTAGTATTTTTTTCAAAAGCCATATAAATTTTTTAAGTTTATTCCACTTCTTACTAATGTGTTGGGTATTAAATTTCCGCATAAAATAATAAATATAAATAAATGTGTGCATTTAGAATATTCATTTCTAAATTTTTATCATTTCTTTTAAATAAATAATTTATTATTAATAATGGATTTTAAGTTCCTACCAAAACAAATAATGGATTATTAGTTTTTTTTCTTATTGCAATGTTTGGTTATTAAAAATGAATGAATAATATATATTATTTTATTTCTAGAGAATATTTATCTATTTATTTATTCATTTATTTATCAATTTATGGTTTTTTCTAAATTTTATCATTAATAAAACTATATTTGCATATGAATTCATTTCTAACATAATTTATATTTATTATTAATATATTATAAAAAAAAAAAAAATAATAACAGTCACAACTTCTACAGTTTTGTGTTACCAATCAGATTTTAACAGCCAAAGTTTTTACAGTCAAAGTCTTTACAGCCAAATTCTCTGCAGCTCAAATTTTTAAAGTCAAAGCTTCTAAAGCCAAAACTTACAGCAGTTACCAATCCGTCCCTTAATCTTTTATTTAATCACCAAGCTATTGAATTAATAAGATACCACTAACAACACTTATATGATTTGTCATTCTTTTTTTTTTGATGATTTTGTCAAAGCTACGATGAATAAAAAAGTGACAGATATATTTTTATTGATATTCAAATGTGGAAAATCTTAGTACAGTACATAAGAAAGAAAAAAAAAATCAAGAAAATGATTTTTAAATTTAAAATGACAAAAACAAATTTGTCTAGAAGAGAAACCCAAAGGCCAAAGTGGCTACAGAGGCGAAGAAAGCTGGGATGGCCAAGGAAGCGTCGGAGGTAGGACTCGGAGCTGGAGCCTCCACCGCGGCAGCCTGTTGCACGGCAGAGAGAGCCATCGCTGCCACCAAAACCGCCACAAAGAGTCTCATCTTCATTGCCTCCATTGGTTTATCTCTAAGTGGTTCTTGAGAAAGCACAAAGAGATTATATGTTTAGTATTTTGTGGTGTGTTCTGATGTGTTGTGACTGTGAGTTATATATACACATGGATGCATGTAAGGCCAACTGTGTAACTAGCACTTTACAGTTTGATTAACACCAACACAATTAATCATTTTTGAATTGTTTCAATTCTTTGTATTTGGTAAAAAAAAGTACTATTTTATCACATTAATCTCTGTAAAGCCAACTGAGATCTTAGTTGAAAAATAAAGAAAAATAAACAGTTGGAAAGAATAGTGCAGCCGATTTAAGTTGTGATATTGTATATTGTTTTTCTTGGAGAAATGGATATAATATGTTGGTTCAAAGATTACAGTTCAAAAGGTAGTATTTTCAAATAATACAGTTCATTCTAGGAACGTTTTCTTTAATAAAAACTAAAAAGAGTGAAAGAAATAGTAAACTGTTTGTTTTTTTCTGTGACGGTCGAGAAATGAATAGAAAATAGATAAGAGACGCAATGAGCTGTTTGGTTGGTTGTTTCTTTGTAGGTAAAGAATATGGAATTTGATTGATGGTTCCATGTGCGCTCAGTTATATAATTGACTCAATCCATTTATCCCCCAAGGCCCCAATTATTGCTCAATATTCGATGAAACAAGAACTTATGTGTGAGTTTTCATTTTATTAGTCAACATATGAATTAGGTATTGAGCAAGACTCTTCAAATATTTGAGCAAGAAAAAAGAAATGAAGAACCATGGAATTCTCCCATTCACACTAACAATAAAGAATTAAGCTTCTTTCTTGGAAGCCAAGAAACCAAAAACTCACCAAACCTAGAGACCCAAACCTGATGATTAACACAAAACTCTCTTGGTCTTTACTCAATTTCCCCCCAGAAGGTATGAACAAACGCAAAACAAATCAAAGACAACACCATTTGTCTTAAACATCTCGAGGTAAATCCGATTCAACAATGTTTCAACTTTCAAGTGCATATTAAACTAAAAATGATGGTCTATACATCACGGACAAGACTTTAAGAAGAAAGTAAAAAAAAAAATCTAGATATATCCTCATGGATACAAACAGTAAACAAGAAACAAGATTCGATTTTCGCCAAATCGCAAGAACTACAGAAAAAAAAAAAAACAGAGAGAAAACAGAGTAATTACAAAAGAGAACAGGATAGAGTTTGATTTTGATCACTCAAAATGCAGATGAAAGTGATGCTGATATGTAGCAATGGAAGATGAAGAGGAACCATAAACAAAAGCGTGATCACGATCGTCTTCGTCGGTTTCAGGATAGAGCAAACCTGGGGAAGGAAGACATAGAAAAGTCAAGAGACATAAAGCTAATCGACCCAATTGCTGAAGCGGGAAGAAGCAGACTAGCTCAAGCATCTCGCGGCTGCTTATACGATCGGACGGTGGGATCCGTCGTAATCGCTGCCAAATCTCCGCCGACAAATGAGCTACGGACATAACCGTATGGCCGTTGAACACCATGTTCGTACACTGTTTTTATTCACACAAAACTGTAACTGGATGATGATTCCGTGATTTTCGTCGGATTTGTCTGTGTTTGTGTATACAAATGCACAAAGGTCGGGGGTTTTCTAGATCTTGCCACGTTGACTTCCATGTTTAATCATCATCATCATTGATCCAATAGTGCCTAATCCATTTTTTTAGTATTTTATTGATTAAACAACTTTAAAATATAAATGAAGCCTTTGTTGTGTTAGTGGTTGAACAAAAATTTATGGATTCTACACAATATTTGTTTTCGATTCTTCAACAATAAGAATTATTGCAAATTATTATAAATAAACCTACCAGAGATCTCTCAATATTAGTTCCTTTTTAATGTATTTTTGGGTTTTGTTCTGTAGTGAAGTGATGAAATATTAGTTCTTTGGAACCAAGTTTTGTAGGAATGTTTAACTTCTAGTAGAAGTAAGAATGATGGGACTCGCAAGCTACCGTCTCTATAGATTTCACCTTACTCCATTGAGCTATACTCTCTATAGGTTTCACCTCAGTCGCAAGTAACGACTCTTTGTTCTAATTATACACTACAAATGAACATTTAGCTCTAATTGATCCCTAAAAATTTGTTATAGCTTTAATGATAAAAGATAATGCTATATCTAACAAAAATGGAAGCATCTTTCAAAACATGCCTACTGTTAGTGTAATTAAACAATCTAGGCATCTATCTATTAACACGTATAGATCTAAAAGTGAGAATGATGTGGCTCGTGAGCCTATGTCTTGTTGAGTTTGTCACAATGATTGACTATGCAATGCATTATTATTTATATAAGCTTGAGTTTGAATTAGCTAGTTAGTTATAAGAATCTGAGTGATTTGTAGCAGCAATGTGTTATGTGTCAAGCTAGATCTTTCTCGAGCCGTATAAGATCAATGGAAATATTTCTTGGTCACATCTTTCTTGCTCTTACGTTACTACTTCACTCATCAATTCAAGCAACAACATCAATTTCTCATGTAAATCACTTAACCCTAAACATGTGCATGAATACCTTTTCATTTGCAGACTTTATTCTTGATTAGCTTTGGCATGTCTTCCAGGTTTACGTTGTATATTTAGGCGCTAACCGGCTAAAAAACGCTGCTTTAGCTTCAAACCACCACCTTCATCTTCTTTCGAAAGTCTTCACAAGGTTACCTTCTTCAAAACTCATCTCTTTTAAAGTCCATTTTTCTTCTCGATCGGTCAATGATCTCGTCCGCAAATTTTTGGAGATGTTGTTGTAGCAAGGAAGATGCGGAACAATCGATGTTGTACAGTTACAACAATGGCTTCTCAGGCTTCTCCGCAAAACTCAACGCATCACAAGCTACTTCTTTAGCAAGTAATACTTCCATCTTTTATATTATGGCGGCAAAATCATTCCCATCATTAAAGAAATCGGTTTGGTTTTGGTTATCCTTAAAAGGTCGTTTTTGCGGAACTAGTAACATTTACTCCAATCGAACCAGTTCCATTTTGTTCAGTTACACTAAGACCGGTTACAAAATCGATATTAATAAGAAAATTAGAACAGAGACCGGTTTTAACCGGGAAATTATTATAGAATTGAACCAGGTCATAACGGTTTTCAAGAGCAAAAGCTTGAAGTTGCACACAACGAGGAGCTGGGATTTCTTAGGTCTCGCCGTTGACAATGCCCGTCGTACTACGCCTCCGCCGCAGCTCGCCTATGGCTCCGACATTGTCGTCGGAATATTCGATACAGGTCTCTTGTTTATCCCCGACTCTTCTTTGTTCCAGGGCTCTCAATGCTAGCATTTCGTTGACACTTTTGTTACTTTCAATTTAGGGATTTGGCCGGAATCGGAGAGTTTCAGAGAACCGCCGGAGGCGAAACCTATACCTTCGTCGTGGAACGGAGAATGCGTCGGAGGAGAAGAATTCGATGCTTCCGTACATTGCAATCGTAAATTGATCGGTGCTCGATTTTACCTCAGAGGATTCGAAGAGACGTACGGACCGATTGACTTTACGCGAGATCCTGAATACCGATCGCCGCGAGATTACCTCGGCCACGGCACACACACAGCTTCCACTGCCGTCGGATCCGTTGTTTGCAATGTCTCCGGCTTCTCCGGTCTTGGACGCGGCACTGCTCGCGGCGGAGCTCCATTGGCGAGGCTAGCTGTGTTCAAGACGTGTTGGGGGAAGGATCTGGAAGGTGTTTGCACGGAGGCTGATATCTTGGCAGCTTTCGACGACGCGATCCACGACGGTGTCCACGTGATTTCGGCCTCTTTTGGATATTCGCCGCCGTTATCTCCGTTTTTCGAGTCGAGCGCAGACATTGGGGCTTTTCACGCGGCGGAGAGAGGAATCGGCGTGGTTTTCTCTGGCGGAAACGATGGCCCTGATCCCGGTGTCGTTCAGAATGTCGCTCCTTGGGCAGTCTCCGTCGCAGCTTCGACTGTGGATCGGAGTTTTCCCACTAGAATTGTTATCGACGGCAGTTTCACTCTCACGGTACTCACCTTAAATCCTGAAGTCAAAGTCAAATTACTGAAAGATTGATTCTTGTTAGTCTCAGAATTTAAAAGAACAAAAAGTTTGAATTATTCAATCTTTCAGGGTCAGAGCTTGATTTCTCAGGAGATCACTGGTACATTAGCTCTTGCAACAACGTATTTCAATGGAGGGTATTTGCTCAAAGTTCTTTAAAATTGTACTCGAAATTCAATTCATGTCACTTTCTATATAGTTTTAGAAGATACTTGCAAATTCGTAGCTTATTAGCAGCATTGGTGTATAACTATAAGGACTGATATGTGCAGGGTTTGCAAATGGGAAAACTGGTTGAAGAAATTGGCCAATGGGACAATAATTTTGTGCTTCTCTACTTTGGGTCCGGTTCAGTTCATTGAAGAGGCACAAGCTGCTGCCATAAGAGCGAACGCATTAGCGCTAATATTTGCAGCCTCACCAACCAGACAGCTCGCTGAAGAAGTAGACATGATCCCAACAGTTCGTGTGGATATTCTTCACGGGACAATGATCAGGAACTATCTTGCTCGTTCGCCTACGTAAGCGACATTACTCGGTTATGCATTTTGTTTCCATGCGCCAAGCTGATATATGATTATAGAAAATAAACTCATTAGATTCCTTTGGTGAAAAATGAAGAGTGCCAATTTTGAAAATTGGACCGAGCAAAACGGTTATTGGAGAGACTACAGCACCCTCCGTTGCATATTTCTCTTCAAGAGGACCTAACTCACTATCACCTGATATTCTCAAGGTACAATCATCTAATATTTTGGTTCACTTAGTTTGTTGCATTAAGTTGTATGTTTGAGAATGCAATTGTATTGAAGTATTTGAGATATAGTAAGTTTAAACCAGAACCAGATTTGACACTTTAGTGAATATTGATTTTTGGTGTGTGCAGCCAGATATTACAGCGCCCGGTATTGGGATATTAGCAGCATGGCCTCATAAAACTCCACCTACACTGTTACCAGGAGACCACCGATCTATTGAGTGGAATTTCCAGTCGGGAACGTCGATGT